CACTGTCACTGTCGCTCGTCTTTGCATTGTGGAGGACTGATGTGTGTGTGTGTGTGTGTGTGTGTGTGTGTGTGAGTGTGTGTGTGTGTGTGTGTGTGTGTGTGTGTGTGTGTGTGTGTGTGTGTGTATGTGTGTGTGTGTATGTGTGTGTGTGTGTGTGTGTGTGTGTGTAAATGAGTTGGAGGTACATCATGTACATAATACAAAATGCAGTGAGGGCGACGTCTCATGATGCATTAGCCACTATGATTTGCCGATATGTCATCATTATTTATACTGTAAACTAGTACTTGTCAACCGTTTTATAGCAAGCGCACACCTTAATGCCAAAATGTTCGTTCCGCCCACTTTCATATACCGGTACTTCTTATAAGGATTATAGGGACATTGAATAATACCCGTCACTAACTCAATTCCAAGAAACATTTTATTTATAAGAGTTGACAACCTCTTCACATATCCGTCAATAATGCCAATGTTCATATCTGATGAGGGTAACCACCTTTCCGATACACCTATCAGTGGGTGGTTGGCGGGTGCTCTGAGTTGATTTGCTCCTACTTTCCTATCAAAGATGATAATATCGTCGTCTTTATCAGAATCTGTCCTCCTTCTCTGCTGTATTTGTTACTCTCTTGACACTTGTCTCTATTCTTTGGCAGTTATGTGACCCAACTGTCTATCAATTAAGGGCTGGTGGGGCACCTAGAAATTTTGTTTTGGGGCCAATTTATGCAAAATGGTGTTATTACATATTATAGTACCTGGACATTAATTCCTGAACAATATCCAGAAACGTATGAAAGCCTTGCTACACCCTAAACCTGTCTTTTTTGTCCAAGTGTTTCTGCGAAAACAGATGTTTTCCAGTCGGTTCTTACCTTTATTGGCTGTTTTCTCACAATTCTATTTTTTCACACATTATCCCATTTTTCTGCCCTGTTTCTTGTTTAATTTCAATACTGCTGAATTTTTTATTAGTGGATTAGTTTTTGATTTATGGGCTTAGAAAACATGAATTTTCCATTTTTTCACTTTTTTTGCAACAACCCAATTGTAAATGTAAAAAAAGACAAACTAAAGCATATATCAAAAATCCAACAAGCGAAATGTAAGAGCTATATATTTACTGTTGGCATGCCAAATTAGAAGTAAATCAGTTTATAAATAAGGAAATAAAATGGGATTGAAAAAGATATACAAAATCCAATACGGCCGCCGTTTCCATAGCAACCGATTCAAAATATACTTTTTGAACAATATATTTCAAATCCCCAATAGCACACAATGTCCCACAGCAAAATTGGGCACTCTAGGCCTTGTAATAGCCAAAATAGACCTCAGGTGCCATAAAAACGTACTTAAAAAAAAGAAAACCATTGTCTGCGTTTTGTTGAGATTTACCTCGAATTCATGCCTGTTGAATCGTTTCGTTTGTATCACAGTTTAGCTTGCTTTGTGGACTACTCACTGAGTCTGATATCGTCGGTCAAATATAAATAAATAAATAAATAAATAAATAAATAAATAAATAAATAAATAAATAAATAAATAAATAAATAAATAAATAAATGGCAGATGACAGTTATACCTGATAGAAACTGAATTCCATGTTTTCCATGCTCCTTTAAACTACGGGAGAGCTCAGCTATAAAAATAGTGAAAAGTTTTGGGCTTAGAAGACAAATAAGCCCTGATTTAGGCCAAAAGGGCAGTAAAAAAAATAGTCTAACCTTTTTACCGTAACACGTACCCAACTGCCGCCAATACAGTGAAATTGTGAGGCAGCGATGTGGAATCAGGCTCTCGTCAATTTTGGGGCATGTAGAGTTATTGGTATCATCTTAAAGCTTGTTCACTTGTCTTTATTTGGATGGAAAAAAATATCCATTTATCTTGAATACAAGTCGAGATATTTGCAAAAGAAGGAGGTGAGGGTCACCTGTTTTCAGAGGTAAAATTAGTGAAAAAATGGCCGCCAAAGATTAGTTATTTCTTTTGCTTTAGAGTCCGTGGTAACTGAATATTGACTTTTTTTGTGTGCCTTTAATCAACGTTTTCCAGAAAATCTACACAGAAATGAGTTCTTTAATGGGCATGAAAGGTGTTGAGCAAAAAAAAAAAATTTGATAAAAATTCACAAACCAGCGAAAACTACAAGTTTTTTCACTTTGATTATTATGACGAGAGCCTGATTCCACCACGCTGCCTCACTTATGAACTCTTGATAGAACGGAACATGTGGCCAGAAAGTCGGTATATTTTACTATACTATAAAGATATCGGAGAGTACGCTGTCTTACTGTCTTGCTTACGTTCTACACCAACTACTGTACTTGTGATAACAAAAATCATCAAACTAATGAAATTTGCGGATGAATCCACTCTACGAGGCCTTATAACAAAAAATGAGAATGAATACAGGGACGCTGTAATTATATTTACACATTGGTGTGATAAACACTTCCTTTTACTAAATGTAAAAAAGACAAATGAATTAATAACAGACTTTAGAGTAAAAAAAGACCAATTGCTGCCACTATGTATTACAGATGCGGAGGTGGAGGTGGTAAGCTTTTACAAGTGTCTTGGTGTAATAATCGTTAACAAACTTGACTGGCATCCCCTTGCTGCTTTTGTGCATAAAAAAGTAAATCAAAGAATGTTTCTTTTAGGAAATTAAGAAGTTTCCGTGTTGATAATAAGGTTATGCCCCTTTTATACCATTCTTTGGTTGAAAGTGTGCTATTATTTTGTATTTGCTGCTGGGGTGGGGATTGTAAGATTAAAGAAACAGAAAAAATTTACAGAACCATTAAGAAAGCCAGCAAGACCTCTGGGTATGATTTTACTAGAATTGATATAAATGTATAACACCACACGTATAAAAAAGTTAAAAAGCGTAATAAACGACCCATTACACCCCCTTTCCTCGCAAATTGTAAGATCACGCAGCGGCAGATATGTACCTCCAAAAAAAAAGAAAGAAAGATATAAAATAAGTTTTTTTTTTACCACCTAGCCTAAGGTTTTAGTCAGAATGAGCATAGATGTGTGTTGCTCTTTAGAGTATTATGTACATCTACATAACTCCAAGGGTCTTGCAACTTTTAATAAAATTTGTGCATGTGTTTGAATGATGCATCTAATGTGAATATATACATTTTGTCAGCTTTACTTCTCTTTTCATATTGAATTTTAATTAGAATAATAAATAAGTTTAATTTTTAAAAGATCTATACCTGCATGTGTTTTTACGGCCCCCGTAGAGCCAAGAAAAATTTCGAGATAAAAAAGGTTTTCATGTATCTTATCTATCTTATATATTATAATCAATTCACAACACACCATTCCACTAGGAAATAGCCATCTTCAAAATTATAATAATATTGAAAGGCACAAATAAGGAAAGAAGGAATATCACTTGATGCGGTCTTCGACTTTTCATGTAAGATCGCATTACCACTAGGTCGTGATTCCGTGTTTTTCACATTAAATTGAGACACCGTGGTTGACTTCATGATCAGTGAGGCCAGAAAATATCACTATTCAACATTTCGATGGCTACCCACAAGAAGTTAGTATATCCACTTCTGACCTATGCTCCACTTTTGGTCGATATGGGTGGTGAGATTTTGAGCCGCTTTTTGTCTCTGTAGATATCTAAGCCGCAGCTTAGTTCAGGAACGAGATATTAACGGTTCTTTTTTTAAAAACCCTATATTATAGGGATTTCAAAATCGATAAAATTTCAACCTCGGTTTTCTTTCTCGAAACTATGAAAAGTGGATGTAGTCACTTCTTGCGCTCAGCCATCGATGTTTTTTCAGGGGAACAGGTTTCTGTAATTGGCAAATAATATCTTTTAAAATACCTGCCCCATAAAATATCAGAGGTATTCTTGGAGATAGCTCTTTGTTGAATATACAAAACTAATATCCTTCCAGAAAGCTGCAGACCTATTTATACTGTTCAAAAGGTATGTATTTTTTATCTCAGAATTATAACGTTTCTCAAATTTACAGATTTTTATTTTGGACAAAATTATATTCCATTTTTTTTTCTCTTCAAACTGGATCTTTCTCAACTTTCTGAACGAGCGTGAACTTCTTACACCCCTCTCCTCTTGTTCGTAACACTCGTGAAAGAACCATATATATATCTATCCTAAATGTGATTCTCAAATATTTACTGTTACCTTCGTCTTTTTCAGCATTTGGACGTGAACGGGAACAGAGCACGACAAACGAGCGAACGAGCCAGAAACAGAGAGAATGAGAGAAAGTGTGTGTGTGTGCGGGAGGGGGGGGCAGTAAGAGAGAGAGAGAGAGAGAGAGAGAGAGAGAGAGAGAGAGAGAGAGAGAGAGAGAGAGAGAGAGAGAGAGGGAGGGAGGGAGAAAGGTGATGGGAGAGAGAGAGAGAGAGAGGGGGTGGGAGGGTGGAGGGGGAGTAGCCTGTGAGATATTATGAGGATGGTGCAGAGATTACACGTTGAGAAACAGGTAGAGACAGAAATGTAATGTGTATGTACTTTCCTTGTGTTGTTTTGTACATTTGTTGAAAAATGCAGTCTTTTAGGCCAAGAACAAAACATACACTGTTGATCTTATACAATACATAGGCCTAATTATTTATTTAATTTTATATTTTTGTTAGTGAACGCATTTTCAGGCTCACTGCTTGACTATTTTTCTCATTGAAATTTATTATCATCATAATTCATTATTATTTTTCTTCTATTTGGCCTATTATTAGGCCTATCATATTTTTTATTACTATTAATATTACTATTACTACTAATAATAGTAATAATAATTATAGTAGTAGTAATAGACCTAATAATAATAATAATAATAATAATAATAATAATAATAATAATAATAATAATAATGATGATGATGATGATTATCAATAAATAATATTATTATTTTCTTTCATAAATTAACGAATGTAGCTCAGTACGACCTTCACGCAATAATGCTTTTTAAGGGAAACAACTCTTGCTGAAAACATCGCTTCAAATCGAAACATGGCAAACGTTTCACTGAATTCATATTTACATTCGGTAAGAACAATCTGTTCGTGACTGCTGTGGCTAATTGTAAAAGTAGTCACATTAATTTCTAATCCTATTAGACATTTTACCTTTGGAATCCGTGCAGTTAAAGAGACTTAGCTTTGGCGTTTACTAGATCTAGATCTAGATCTAGTCTAAAGTAGGCCTTTTTAGTGCTAATTTAGTAGAAGTTTTCCAGGCAGGTGCTATTATATTTGCAATGCCGCCTTCTGATAGCTTCCGTGCTATTTGAAACGCCGCGTTCTAAATAGCTCCGCTATTTGAAACGCCTGTACTAGGCCTAGATCTAGCAGCCATCGTTTCCTTATAATAATATTGTAGTTCTGCCTGAATTGTGGAAGCTTTCTATTCTGAGTTCAAATTCAAAGTGGCGTACGTAACTCGTGTGTAATGCCAATGCGTATTACAGCCTGCCTTTACGCATGCATAGCATCAAGGCTTTGTATACGACCCTCCACTTCACATAATAAGCTAGATCTAAATCTGGCGATTGTTAAGATTCCCGCGTTTAATTCCGATGTGTGTTTTTCATACCCTCGCATCGCTTTGGTCCCTAACCCTAGCCCTAACCCTAACCCTAACCCTAACCCTAACCTTAACCCTAACCCTAGCCCTAACCCTAAACCTAACCTAGGGTTAGGGACCAAAGCGAAATATGCCTGAGGGTATGAAAAATGCACATCGGAATTAAACGCAGGAATCTTAACAATCGCCCTAAATCTAGATCTAGAGCCTATGTACGGCATACCGTCACCTTAGTGTTTTGAGATGACTATTTCCGGAAGTGAACTTTTGTATTTCCATAACTTCGGCTCTTTCAAAAACATCGACCCAAAATTTCGTTTTGTTGAGAGGCCAGCCTTTCCTGTAGGTGTGGGGTGAAGTTTTTAGTCAAATAGTGTATAAAGAAGACCCCTAACCGAGACTTGACGCATGTCATGACATGTACCCCATACCGTCATGTGTCGGGTTTTCTGTCTTGGTATGTACCCCATACCGTCACCCACTACACCCCATACCATCACCCCCAAATTGAAGCACAACTAGGCGTTTGAAAAGAGGAAAGAAGCAAAGACGAACTCCTTTTGTACAGTGGGCCTAAGACAGAACTAATGTTTATATTGACATACTAAAAAGAACAACCACCAGAACAGACTCACATACATCTTACTCACACATAGATCTAGATCTAGGTACATGAATGTTTCATTTTACTCTTCCACACATATATCACAAACTCATATGAACATGATCTTCCTCACACACAAGTACATGAATGCTTCATTTTACCCTTCCCCACATATATCACAACAAACTCACTTGAACCAGATCTGTTTAAAATCGCTCTTGTAAAACCTTTGCTAAAGAAGCAAAACTTAGATCAGAATGTCTTAAAGAACTATAGACCTGTTTCAAATCTACCTTTTTTGTCTAAAATCCTTGAAAAGGTTGTCCTCGAGCAGCTTCGTCATCATTACAAGAAAACAATCTGTTAGAGCCATTCCAGTCTGCCTATCGAGCTAACCACAGCACAGAAACAGCACTTCTTGAAGTCATGAATCGACATGCTTACTGATTGTGATTCAGGAAAAGTTGTTTTGCTGAGCCTTTTAGATCTATTAGCAGCTTTTGATACAATTGACCATCACATTTGATTGAAGCGATTGGAAGTGTCTTTTGGATAATCCGGGACTGCCCTTAGCTGGTTTTCTTCTTACCTGTCAAATCGTTACCAATCTGTTTTTATTAAAGGGCTTAAGTCATCAGATCATGCTCTTAAGTATGGGGTCCCCCAGGGCTCAGTCCTCGGTCCAGTTTTGTTCACCATTTATACTCAATCACTTGTGAAGGAAATAGTTAAATATGACTTAAAATACCATTTCTATGCTGATGATACCCAAAGTTATGGTTCAACATTGTTTACCAACTTAGATGAACTTGTCCATCGTGCTGAAAATTGTATTGCCTTAGTGAATAACTGGATGAACAAAAATAAATTGATGTTAAATGATAATAAAACAGAAGTCATTCTGGCAGGCAATGCAAAGTCTGTTAAAGAGGTTGACCATGATCACATTAAAATTGGTAATGCAAAAATTTTATTTTCAAGAAAAGTTAAGAATCTTGGCATCTATTTTGATTCTAGTTTGTCAATGTCGGCTGAGGTAAATCATCTGATCAGCTGCATGTATTTAGAAATAAGAAAAATTAGTAAAATACGTCATCTGATCAATACCAAGTATACTGCTTTACAAGTAACTAGCTTAATTTTATCTAAACTCGGTTTTATAAATTGTAACTCCTTGTTATCAGATATCACTGGAGAAAGTTAAAAGACTTCAAACTGTCCAAAACAATGCAGCACGTTTAGTTTTATGGAAAAGAAAGCGAGACTCTGCTAAACCTCTTTTACGAACATTGCATTGGCTTCCTGTTGAGAAAAGGATTGTGTACAAGTTGGCCACCATATGTCACAAATGTTTGAATGATAATGCACCATCATATTTATCAAATCTGTTAAGACTGTACATTCCAACTCGCAGTTTAAGGTCATTTTCAGCTGACAAAAAGAAATTTATTTTACCTTCTGTGAAACTTAAAACAATGGGTGAAAAGGCATTTGAATACCAAGGCCCCAAGATCTGGAATGCTTTACCAAGTAGATTGAGAGAAATCAAATCTTTTGATTCATTCAAATGTCAGCTGACGTTGTTTCTGTTTTTAAATTAATAAGATGAATATTTGGAATAATTTTCTTTAGTCAGAACACAACGTTTCATGTTACTGTTGTATGTCGTACTGTATTGTAAAGCGCTCAGAGCCTGTGTACTTTATTAGGGGTTGAGCGCTATATAAATATCATTTATTATTATTATTATTATTAACATCTTTTACTCACACACAAGTACTTGAATGCTTCATTTTACTCTTCCACATGTAGGCCTATCACAACAAACTCACATGAACATCTTACTCGCACACATACATGAATTTCCCTGTTGTTTCTTCTTCTTCTTTCCTGCTCTCTGCTTCTCCAACTTCCTTAACTTTTCTCCTCTTTTCTCTTCTTCCTTCTCCCCCGTTTTCTCTTCCTCTTTTCCACTTCTTCCTTTTTCTTTTCTTCTTCCAATTTCTTCGCCTCCTCCCATGCTTTGTACTTTGCCCGTAAGACATGTATGTAGGGGCCTTAGCCCGCTTCTCTGTGTTGAAACCTTAGATAGTTCCAGCTTGCTGGTATGGGCAGGTTGACGAACGAGGGGGAAGGAATGAGTTGATTTTACAAATCAAGGTATTTTGTGTATGCCCCCTCGTTCTCCTTAGGTTCGATTTTGTGCCAATGGCAACGGCGGACCCAATGCATGTCTGATGCCATCCATCCAGTGGCAATGGCGTGATCAATTAGACTGTCAAGGACAAAGCAAAAGTGTTGTCCTGAGGCAGTTTTTGGGGGGCTTGGGGCATCACCAGAGTTTCATCTTCCAATGGTCTCAATGCCTGCTCAGGTAGACAATAGACATAGTCCTGGTTAATCACAGGATCCCAAGCTGGTGTTGAAACCAAAGGTAGCTGAAACTCTGCTGCAGGATCCAGGAAGTCCTCGGAGGTACATTCGATCCCCGAGAATTCCAGACCTGTGGTCGAAAAGTCTAAGGCATCAACTGACCACTCACAACTAGAGACAAGGGCAGTTGGGGGAGGGCCAGCAAGTTTTTCTTCTGAAACTGAAGCAGTAGGAGCAGGAACAATATCACAACATGTGGAAACAGTGGCTGGAAGAACATCATCACAACATGTGTATACATTGGACAGAGGAACATCATCATTACATACAACGGGATAGAGTTTCCTTCATATAAATTTGTTTCAAACATTAAAAAAGAAAAATCTAAAGTCGCTCATTTTCTAATGAATCCGTGTCTAAATAGATCTATCTAGATCTAGATCTATATAAAATCATAGAAACTAAAAAATCTAAAGTACTAAGATGCCATCCATAGTCCGTCAAGAAATAGGGTGACCTTATTTAGGCCTAAATAAGCTAAACCCCCCCTCCCTTACCTTATTTAGGCCACCTGTGGCCTAAATATACTAAACCCCCCCTCCCTTACCTTATTTAGGCCATGTGGCCTAAATAAGCACTCCCCAAGAAATAACTATTTTTCAAGTCACGCTGCATGTAAAAAATACGGTGACTGTATGGGGTACATCCATCAAAAAATTGTACCCCATATCGTCACCCCCCTACGGGCGCCAATTGTTACAACAAAGAGCAGCGAATGGTTTGTGGTGGTAACTAGACACCTTATAAACTGAATAAAAATGCGAAACGAATCCTGCGGGTACGATTGTAGAACCAATAGCTTATTTCTCAAGATGTATTGCACATCTGCAAGCCGTAATGGCTGAACGCGGTTCTTACATTTGGAGATGAAATGGATTATTTCTGCTCACACAGGTGTCTGATTCTGCTCAAAATTGTTGAACTTGAAAACAAAACAATGTTGAACGGAATTGTTTAGCAGACAGCATTCCAGATTATCGCATAATTGTCTGGTTGTCCAATTTTAGGCCAAATGCGTGCCAACTGACAGTATGACGTACGTGACGGTATGCCGTACATAGGCTATAGATCTAGGCTTTGTAGGCAGCACATTAACTATCAAACCAGACACCACAAGTGGACAAACTGAAACCCTGGAAGCATGCAGGCCCTTTGTAAAGGCCGTGAGCCGGGCTACCTGGGATGCGCGCAGGCCCTATATATCATGACCTACTTCGACTGGGAAGCGCGCAGCTATAAAGGGCATAGACATTGATCTTTTTTCAATGGAAAATTTCAGCATTCCGTATGGAAAAAAAACGTAGTAAATTTAGTAATTACAGGCCAAAGTTATAAATAGTGACCAATGACTTTGCATGATGTTATCTTGACCTCGTAGACCGTCTCTTGGCCTAAGATCATACTACAAAATAGTTCACTCAGCCAAAAAGGTGTCTGCGGAAGTTCGCACATTGGTTCAGATGACGCTGCTCACAGTCTTTGTTTTTGAAGCTCTCTTTCGTTTCACCAGAAGAAGAATAGGAGCACAGTTTGTTAGTTTCACTTTTTAATTAATTAAATATTTTCACACAATTGGGTCAACTTTGATCGCAAAGTCCGCACTTTTTCGAAGAGGGCGCCACCAAATATTGAGGACACTTTTTTAAATTGGCTCAATTATAGAGGAGTGAACTATCTTGTTATACACGATCTTTGTCTTGGCCAAGATATCAATCCAATAAAGTGACGCGGTTCAGCTGAGCGATTATCTAGGCTGTGAGCATACTTCTATCTAAATCTAAGAGCCGTGCGTAGGGAGGGCCATACACGCATATCTATGAGGCTATGCGTACGGGAGGGCCGTACGCATATCTATGAGGCTATGCGTACGGGAGGGCCGTACGATATCTCTGAGGCTATGCGTACGGGAGGGCCGTACGCATAGCCACAAGCTTCTCAGTTTCTTGATAAATCTCCTAGGATTTGACTCCTTTTTTTAATGACGTTGTCTTATTCCGATCAATATTGGGTAGATCTAGATCTAGATTAGATCTAACATTGTTTCTGACATTGTTTGCACCAAAGTAGACTGGACCTAGTCTTGTTCATCTCCCAAAATCATAAATATCATTTGAGTTTGTTGAGTTTGAGCCAGTAAGTCGAGACGCTTGGATAACAATAACAAAATAGTGCAACTCGATATTTATAAGCAGTATTTCCTGTCCGCAGTGTTGTCGTACCATAGATCTACCTAAAAATATTATCTAAAGTTAGGCCAAGAGAACGTATTACAAGCTGTTTACGTTCTCTAAGTCTAGTGCTTCCAACGAATCCCGGTCCCAGCAGGTTTTTTTTTCTTCTCCTGAGCCTAAAATATATTAAAAAAATTAATTAGACTCACAGACCAAGGAAAGCCGTGCTATTATCTCACTTACTATTGGGCCCTTTCACCAGTCACAAGTGTTGAAGACTGGCGTTTTTCGGAGTATTTCAATAAATCACCACAACTCTCAGAATTACCCTATTGTAAGTTGGGGTCACTGTCCTTCACCTTCAATAACTTAAAAACTACAAGTCCAAGAGATACAAAACGAAGTCTAAGTAGCTCAGGCTTGGCCAAACAAGGGTATGAGGCGGGTCCCACGATCCGTGCGTGATTTGTAGAGCGAAAAAAAAATTCCAAAGTTGGTCACGCAGGGCTTGTGGGAGCCGTCGCAGACGTCGCGGCGGGGGTCACGCAACTGTTGTGTAAACCGTCTGAAGTGAGTTATATATTACTATTGAACTGTACTAAGGCCTACTTTTTACAGGAGAGCTCCTCTTAGGGACAAAACCAGAATGTGCATACTTCCTCACTACATGATAAAAAAATCTACAAAGCAACAAGTTATAATGGGAAAAATTTGTTGGTCAGTCGAGAAGAGGACAAACAAAAAAACCAAACTTCCAAGACCGGGATTCGAACCCACGCAAAAAACAAACAAACAATGGTTTGGCTTCAAATGCAGACGCCGACGCGCTGTCCCTTCGGCCATCAAAACTTCCAACAACAAAAGGTGAATTAAGCTTCATATAACACACTGTGTTTTATTTAGCACTGGCCTAATGGCAACGCGCTGTTTTATTTAGCACTGGCGCTGATCGCAACGCGGCGTTGCAAATAGGCACTTCCTAATATTACATATCGGCACAATGACTGCGCGCCTGGAACATAGTTTGCAGGCAACGTTCACGGCACCCTGAATCATCCACCATTGGCATAGAGGCACAACTGAAACGCTAGCCTAGGGTCTCTCAAAGTCAAAAGTGAATGAGGAAACAGCACAGGAATATATATATACTCGCATGAAAAATAATGCAGCAGTTGTCCGAATGCAACGGAGTAGCACAGCAAAACAGCCGCGGTCGACAAGGCCTTGCTCGCTTAGGGTGCGGAACACGACTTCATTCCTCTTCCTGTGTACAGACAGGGCAACGCTTGACAGTTTGAAAAGGCCAGCAATAAGTATGGATAGAGACTGGCAATCTAGCTGTACTTAACAATGACTCTGACAAACAGCAAAAACTAGGCCTACTGAATTGTAAAAAAAATTTTAGTTTGCTATATACCTAATGTATTTGTGTTTGTGACGAAACCAAAAGGTGCCTTACTGACAGTGTATTTTAAACCTGAAATTACTTTGAGACCTGTGTGGGCTACTCAACAGGTTTCTAATAGGGTCTGAAATAAGTACGGCTAGACTGGCAGGCTAGCCGTACTTAATGATGATGGCTGAATTGTAAAAATAAAATTTTAGTTTTGCAATAAATACCTAAAGTATTTATATTTCAGACGAAACCAAAAGGTGCCTTACTGACATCATGCTTTTTTTTTTTTTTTTTTAAATTTGGTATCTGAATATTTACTAGTTCTAATGAGACCTGTGTACTCAACAAGTTTTGGTCAATAGGGCTTCCTAGATCTAAGTATGGCTAGACTGGCAGGCTAGCCGTACGGCTAGACGGCTAAGCTTGCTATACTTAAGAACAGCTAGACTGTCAGGCTAGCCTTACTCTTAAAGTTGTTGGAAGAAACAAGGGAGAATGGAAGAAGGCCAAGGCAGGAAGAGGGATGGGAGGGGGTGAAAAAAAGAAGAGAAACAAAAGGGAAAAGAGTAGGGGGTAGCAAGATCACATATATATAAAAGAATGAACAAGAAAAGTGCTAGAGATGGGTAAGAATTCCAAATTCCTCTCCCACTTGGGAGAACACATAATAATGGGACCAGAAAATGTCCTTGTGTTTAAAAGCAGATTTTGTAATTATGGGAAGTTGCAATGCACAAGAATAAAGAGAGGGGAAATTAAATGATTTGAAATCCTTTTGTGTTGTAAAAGGAATTTCATGTTAAGTGACGTCCTCTTTTATATAAATACAAAGTCTACTATGACAAGTATTGTCATTGTGAAAACAAGAATATAATTGACATCAGCCGTCGCAAGTCAAGAACTCGGTTGTCATAACTGACTGCTTGATGATGGTTCTATTTCATACAGATGGCGATGATATGGTGTCTATTATAATTGTTCTGCAAAATGTGGGCTATTTTTCAGCTGGATGCTTCGAGCATAAGGTGCATTGCTCTCCTGTGTGTTCGAAGGGTTGACAATAACACCTGTTTAAGCAAGCGATAGTTTGAATCATGTGCTGGTGATTCAGTGTGGTTATGTGATAGTTGAGAGTAAGATCAGGTTTCGTGAAACATATATTCTACTTCCCATGTGAGGCAGCCTGATGAAATCCGGCGCTTGTCAAAACAATACTAATGAAATCAAGGAAACCGGCATATTTTTTTTTGACTGTGGGCAAAATATTAAAATCTCTTTTTTCGCCTCTCTGCCTTGTATGACCTTTCAAAAACACATTTCAGCGTGGATGTTACCAAAAAACGTTGATTTAGGCACAAAAAAATGTAAATTCCCAGTTTTCAAGGACACTCAGTTTTGGAAGTCACCAAGTTTTGGCGATCATTTTCTCACTTATTATACTTCTCACACCGGGTGATCCCCACCTCCTTCAGTCACAAATATCTCAACTTTTGTTCAAGGCAGATGGCCGTATTTTTCATTGGAAAAGACAATTGAAAAAGCTTTAAGATGATTCGCCTACTCCACATGTCCAAAAATTGACAAGCGCCTGATTCCACCACGTTGTGACACAGCCCCAGGTTGTCCAATCTAGATTCCCAGTTGCACTTTCCCTTTTAACAGTTTCATGCGTCTTGTTCATAATTTCATCTTTTCTACCTGTTTGTTCTGCTACTATTTTCAGTTTACTTTGAAACCTTCATTATTTTTGTTTGTTTCAGGTTGATGAGGCTCTTCAGAATTATGACAGTGATGAAGCTGCTGTACGTTTGTATATTTGCCATTGTAACTGTCATGACTGTTCATTTCTAGTTTGTATGTTTCTGTTTCTATGGTAGTGTCTTCATTGAACTTAGTTTTGATTATTGGGTGTGAATCGTTTTTCTTCAACAAGTTTTACTGCTTTCAATTTAATTTGTGAAACACCCTTTTTTCCCTCTTTGTTTATTTTGAGAATTTTCATTACTTTAAATCTTAACATCATAGGGATACCTGTCCTGAGAAAATGTTCTATTTCACTCTTTGATGGTATGTTAATTAAATTTAGACTCTTCAACTTGTTTTCAGCGTCTGTTATCGTTCAGAGATCCCCATGTTGCAAGCCCAAACTTGCAGAACACTAGGGCAGATAACCAGTGTCGACGTGTTTTAGAGTCACCCTATGATGAGATGGTGGCCGCGCACCTTAGGTAAGGTTCTGTCTGGGTGGAACTGACTGTCCCTTGGATAAAAAACATGATGAATTCTTGAAATTTCGAACTCAGTCTAAGGATAGAGGGGATTTGGGACTGATAAAAATTAAATGAACGTCATGTAAAAGATTGTCATTTGTGTTTTCTTTTTTTGGCCCGATACGTTGCCATTAACCTCAGAAGGGAGTGGTTTCAATTGTTTTCTTCATTTTGATCAGTCCTACCTAAAGAGGTCGCCTGTCTAAGATGGCCACTTTTGTCCTTGACAGTGGGTGGCCACCTTGGACAGTTTCAGCTGTATATGTGAGGCATCGTGGTGAAATCAGGTGCTACTCAAAATTATGAAATCGAAGAAATCGGCATTTTTTGGGCTGATGGGCAATTTTTTTACAATTTTTTGTTTTTGGCTCAACACCTTTTATGTCCATGTTAAAACACGTTTTTGTGTGGATTTTTATTGAAAAACATGGATTAAAGGCACAAAAAATGTAACTTTTCAGTTTCCAAGGACTCTCAGGCTATGAAAGTTACCAAATGTTGGTGGCCTTTTTTTCGTTAATTTTACCTTTGAAATCAGGTGGCCCTGACCTCCTTTCATCGCAAATATTTCGACTTCTGTTCAACATAGAAGGATATATTTTTTTCACCAAAAAGAAGTCAAAGGAACAGGCTTTAAGACGGTACCAATGACCCCATGTGCTGAAAAAATAACGAGCGGAGCGCATGATTCTACGACGTTGTGACACATATAATTATATTATATACATGTTTATGTATTGTGTCTTCATCTCTACAGCTCACATTGTTTTCATCATAGGTGCTGTGCAGCTGTAGCCAACCATGACTTTTCAGAGGCCTACGGTTCACAAGCTGTGGTTGTTCAGTATCCTTTTTTTTTTTTGGTTGGTTTTCACTAATTTGATTTGATTGGATTTTGGGCTTAATTCATTCGCGACGCCGAGCGGTGGGCAGCGGTGCGGCTAAAGTGACTTGGCTACGGCAAGCCGCCCCCAATGGCTCGAGAACAGGTTAGTTCTCGAGCCATTGGGGGCGGCTTGCCATAGCCAACCTATGATTCTAGCTTAGATTGTATTCCAATCCACATATCCATGTTAAAGAAAAGGTTGTAATATAACGTTGACTTCCGGGTCAAACGTTTTAAACAAAAATCTCAAGTTTTGATTCAGTTTTGAAGCACTTTTTCGAAGTTTTTGCGACTTTGTTTTATCGTGATGCCCAAATTATTGCCCTGATACACCAGCCAGTCTTAGTACTTTTAAACCACAAAATGTATCATTGTTTTGCTTGATAAAGAAGTGTAGGACTCTACTTTAGAATATCAAAACTATATTTGTAAAATGGACTAAAAATTCCTATTGCTGTGTTATTGAGAAATCAGTATTTTTACGTGCTAGTTCTGGATCTAGAATAAATTGTCAAAATATTTTTTGATCCCCAAAGTTTCAATTTTAAAAATAAAATTACACAAAAAGTACCACTCAAGACATGTGTACGTATATTCCAAATGCAATTCTGAATAATTTCATTTAAGATACGTGTGGGTTTTTTTTCTGTTCGTGAATGCGTCTTGTCCTTTTTTATCAAGATTATAATTTTTTTTTTTCAATATCGGATGTTATGATCTGAATGTACAAATTATGTGGAATGTATGTCAATAACTGCAAATTTTCCAATATTTTCCAATTCTATATTCATTTATGGTTATTTTGATGTATTATTTGACTAGGTGCAAATATATTTTTTGAGTTTCACCAAAGATTAATAATTTTTTATTTTGGAATTTTATCCGCATCCAAGCACAATTTTGTTGCATAATTGCCTCTTACAGGAACCAAAGTTAAAAAGCCACACAAATAAGCATTACAGATGTATTCTACAAATCATACTTTAAATTTCGGTGTATAATATGTTGATATTTATTTGAATTTGTGGCCCCAAAGACATTTGAACTGCGCACTAGTCATCATCTCATTTCGACCTCCCGAACAAAATTTGTCCACAAGCCCAAAATAATACATAGCTAAGGAGTTAACGGATATCTCTTCCTGTCAGTTTATCTAACAGTTTGTCTGTTTTTCATTCATTAAAAAGAGAACAAAGATTTTTAACCCTTTTTTTTTCTCCTTTTAATCCTTCCTTTGTTTCGTAAGTTTACAATAATCATTTTATGCCTGGTATATAATGACAATAATAATAATAATAATAATTATGGTCACTTCTACAGTGCCCTCTACTTGATGGCTTTAGGGGCTTCACAATAAATGTACATTTTTAAAACTTGTATTTCATTGATTGAGAGATTAAGTTGTTACTACACTTTGTTGATTTACATGTAGATGGGCTTGGTTAGTTTTGCAATGTTGCATTCTTATTTTAAAATGTCCATTTTCTTTCATCCCTCAACTCCTTAACTGTGGTCAGATCTTTTCTTAAGGCCCTTCAAGCTCAGAAAGAGGAAAACTGGGCCTTGCCAATGATGTTTGCGGTGTCGTTAGACTTGCGTCTATTTGCTGTCAGTGTGAGTAGCAGTAATGTAGTCATTTGTTTGTCCAGCAGTGTATCTTCTTAACTCTTTAAATCCTGAGTTTTTTCCACAGTTTCCCGGAGTTTTTGTTTACACATAAACGTGGCGCGTTATTTCTCATTATAACCCCCAAAAGCTTGCCTCCATCTTCTAAATGGCGGAAACAAAGGCTCAGTCATTACTAAAAATAACTTGGTTCTGGAATAGTTCAGAAAAACGAGCAAATACTAGCACTTAATGAAATGAAGCTGTTGTCACTAGTGTCAGACAGTCCCAGCGTCTGATGGGAAACAGGGTTATTACCACCGGACAGCATTTGATGGGGTTTAAAGAGTTAAGAAATCCCAAGGCCGTTACCTTTGTTTGATAGGTATGATGACAACCTCTCTCTCCCCCCCCCCCCCACCCTCTCCCCCTCCTCCCCCTTTCCAAAATGGGTAAAAGCAGTATTGACATTGTTGCATCCAGGACTATTCTATTCGGCAGGCCAGAGGTCTAAAGGTTATATATATGCCTGTTTAAAATAGTGGCTCAAATTAAGTGTTCCCTTAATGTATGCTTCCCGGGAAGCTGAGAATGTTTCGGAGTGTTCTATGGTCTGCTGGGGTAATAATATAGTGTAAAGCGCATAGAGCCTGCTGTTGAGCGGGAATATGCGCTATACAAATGCTATCTATTATTATTATTATTAATGTCAAAATTGTTGATGAAAGCAATATAGATTATTTTCTGACTATATTTAATTTCTGTGCTTTCCCTCTTTATTTCCTCCCCCCTTTAAAGGCCCAATTATATTAATCTACTTAGTGTGACTTTAGTTTGTGTATATTTGTTTGTAACGTTAATGTTACTTGAATCTGTGTGGTAAAAATTGAATTTCATATAGAAAAAAGGGGAAGCATTATTTATAAGGTTGTTAGGTTGTGTTCTTAGTCTTAATGTGCATTTTCATCAGTTGACGAGGTCCTGGTTTTATTGTATATTTATTTTTGCTTTCCAGGCGGACATTCAGCTGGTAGAGAGAAACAAAGGGAAGGCTGGAGAAATGTTAGAAAAAGCAGCAGAACAACTCATGAGTTTATTCAGAGTCTGTGCCTCAGATAAGTAGGTCATCACTTTTAAAAAAGTTGATTTTATAGAGGTGGGTCCCTGAATTGTAAACTATATTTCAATCAGCAATATGGGGAATCAGTAAAACTATTGTTCGAAAATGGATTTGAATTTGGCCACTTATCAGTTTAGTGCCTTACCAGAAAAGGTATGTCTATTGCTGATGTTTTGTTGTGTTTGTGTTCAGAGAAGACTTAAGATGAATGAATTAACTGAAAGGAAAAGAGATGGAATAAGGAGGGAAAGAATAACAGCTTTTTTTGGTTCTATTTTGTTGCTCCAGCTCATTTTTCTGGATGGAGATGTAGAGAGGAGGCGTAAGTAATTAATGGGTAGACAGGCCTGAGTGGAGAAAGAATTAAGAGCTGATGTTTTTTTGTCTTTATCATCAGTCGTGCTGCCATTGAAGATTCTAAAAAGTGGGGAATGCTGAATCTTGTCAACCAGCTCTTTAAAATCTATTTCAAGGTTAGTTATACTTTCTGATCTGCATGTTGCTTGAAACTAATTATTTGTACTTTTCTTTTTTGAATTACATTTTAAAGCACATAGAGCATGCTGCAGAGCATGGATAGGTGCTATTTAAATAACATTATTATTTTTATTTTTATTACTTACTTTTGAACCTGTACTGCTTATTGTAAGTTTTTTCATTGTGGAATCCTGTTATGTACCGTGAGAATATACCCTCTCTCTGTGAAAGTGTCTCCACTGAATTTTTGGAGTTATGGACACATCAAAAGAGGTTGTGGGTAGATAATCCTCAAATGCCAGTATTTACGTAAATTTAAAAAAAATCTGTTAAATTAGGTCGGTCAGATCTCTTAATCAAGCGATTTACGTTCGTGTGCATAGTTGGAATTATTTCCTCCGCATAAAGTGACCTGCTGTTGAATCCCCAACTTAGCCAGCAATTTAGACCCCTTAAAAAGCTGTGAAATGACTGCAAGATGCAACCACTTATCCTATGCTCTGATATCTCTGTGCCTTTTTCCATTTGAACAACTGTCATGACTTCAGGTTTTTAACACGAGTCCATTTTGCTGATTTCAACCATTTTGAAAGATGGCAGGGGTTTTTTTTCCCCCAGAAATGAAACACTTAATAGTCTTTGGAAGTGTTGGTAGAAGTTTACTGTCCTTGTGAAGTAGTTCTTTATACTGTTTTAGTTCAAACGAAAGAGAAGGTTCGTGTACCTAGTTTCAAGCACAGTCTTGATGAGTGCTGTGGTGTGGTTTGTTCTTCTATTCTTTCCTATACAGAAGTCTCCGCCTAAGATCCCACCGCTTATGGCCCCGGTTCGCCTAATATCCCGCTGTTTTGGAAAAACATAATTTTTTCTATATAAAGTCACCTCTAACATCCCGCTCTGACCCGCTCTGAAGGAGCTACAATCGAATAAGATCTTGCTTTTCAAGTCATTATTTAGTTGGGGGTTTTTTTTTTAAAGAAAAAAATAGAATAAACCTGGGCGGGCTCAGCTGATCAACCAAGAAGCGAAAGTATGCCATCGTTGTACCGTCCGTCGCGTCATGGATCATCCGCTTTCATACACGCGATCACACATGTGTTGTAAACCTCGATAAGCTGTTACAATGTTTGTTCCAGACGGGAGCGCTCCTAGGTGTGATATCGTTGACGCGTTCCTTTCCCCGATCTCCTGAGCTGTCCGCCTGATCTTACATCACTCACAAGGTGGGGAGGGCCAACAAGCAAGCATCAGACAGCATTCTATCAAACTGTGAACTTGTGGACACTTAAGTTTCCCAGACCATTGTTCTCGTCTTCCAGTTTTGCACTCAAACTTCCTAGACAGACTGGCGCCTACACTCGTGGACTGTCCAATCGCCTTTATGTTATGTGGTCATCTGTTGGCTGTGAGCCTGCCTTTAATTTAAAGAAAAATACAGGGTGATCCCAAAAAAACCTGTATGACTTGTTTTGTAAACGTCTTCCTCCATACTGAAGTTTTTCGTTTCAGATTTGAATATATAACATTTGGAAGTCAAAAGGAAGTTGTCTGATATTCATTTTAGAAAAGTTCTTTGAATGGTTTTGCTCTATATGGCGCATTTAAAAAACAACCCATTTTCTACCTAGTCGCCATTTTCATAGCATGACACACCAGTTTGCATTCGGCCTACCACTAAAGTTGCAACAATTGCGGCCTTATTGCAAGCTACAGCAGTCTAACAAGTTAACAGAAGTCTGCAGATATTGTTTTTCCTAAATTTCGTTTGCCCACTGAGATCATGGTCACTTTTAGTAAAGATCAGAGAGCTTTTTGTATTGAACATTACCTCTCCACAATCTCACCATCCTTGACATTTTGTAAGTTCTCTGCCCAGCATGGAGAGAATGCTTGGGTGCCCTCAAGACCTTTGGCGTTTTGAAATGAGAAGTTCCATCGGTTTGGATCCATAGTGAATCAGAACAAAAAATTTTCTTGAAAATGACCACTTTAGGTCGAACAGGCACCATGCACAGCCCTTCAAATGTCACAAGGGTGCAGATTTTGGTAGTCAAGTGTCATGAGACGTATGTCCGTAGACGATCTGCAGCTAGGACTTTCCTACCACTCAAAAGTTAGCATTCTCATGGCAGATCTTAACCTGCGACTGTACAATTTTCATCTTATCTAGGCTGAGATGACATGGATCAGAGCATGGCAATGTGTTCATGATTCCTCGATTGTTTTGAAAAGCAGGATCATTTCCTCGATGGCATTAATTTATTTTAGTGCAAAGCCCATTTTCACCCTATGGGGTATGTTAACTCCAAAAATGCTGTCTATTGGGCACCCCACTCTAGAAGCCACTTCATACTGAAGTTGTACTGTTTATGTGGCGCTTTAAACACTCCTTGTGTTTGGGGGCCATTGAACATTTCAATCGAAGTGTTAAAATGTGTTGAATTCAAAGGAGGGCATGTAGAGCACTGCTTCTAGGAATTTCAGAATGAAATAGTTAGTTTTTTAAAACTCTGTAAAATAAATTAAATATTGTTTAAATGTCACAGGGATGGAATATTAAATGTCAAAGAGAAAATAAAGAAAAAAGTCAATCAATGTTTTCACGACTTCCTTTACGAGATTTTTAAAAATTGGTGGACTTTGCGTTTTTGGGTGCTTTTTTCTTTAAGCCGTTTCCGTTTTCAAAATAAGTTTCTTCTCCTTGGATTTTATGTCAGACGAATTCCTTTTGAATTTATTATATCTGTTTCAAATTACAGCATTCTAGAACAATTTTTGTGAGAGGTATTTTTTTAAAAAGTTGTACAGTTTTTTTTTTATCACCCTGTAATAGTCAGTGTGGTCACAGCACAACGATTTATGATGCATCATGACATGGGCAGGGAACTCTGTCAGAGATGGAAAGCAAAACAATTTTGGTGGGGTAATTGCCTGAAGCCAACTGGTTCCCACCTGATTCAGCATTTAAAAAACAAAACACCCCGCCCCACCCTTCCCCAAACAAAAAAAACACAAAAAAGAAAAACTGACTTCTGAAAAGAACTTTTAGTGCCCAGGAGTCATGTCAGTTCATTTTAAAGTAAGAGGAGATCATTGTACTGATATTGGGCCTCACCATGAGTGACTGTGGATTCTTCCCCCTGGCCATTCTACTAAGATCCCGGTTCGCCTAAGATCCTGCATTTTCCTTGCTCCCAAGCACGCGGGTCTTAGGCAGAGACTATTTTATATTCATTATCCAAGTTTGTTCTTAGCATTGTGTTGGTGACGGTAAGTTGACTCACTGAATACTACAACTCGATGACTTTCTGGTACCACCGTAGAGATATATGAATCTACTTGTGAAACACGTGCCTTTTGTATAGTAGTGTTTTTCTTTTATTGTTATAAGAAAACTAAGAGCTTTTGGGGTGTGTATTTTATGTTGCCTCATATGATTTTTCTTCTCTCACAGATCAACAAATTACATTTGTGTAAGCCTCTTATACGTGCCATTGAAAGTCTGCCCATCAAAGACAAGTTCAGTCTTTCTCAGCTGGTGACCTACAGGTATTTATTGTATTACTCTTAGGAGTTGCAACAATTATTATGTCTCTAGCTTGTTCCTTTTGTCACTTTATTAAACTTAATTAAGCTAGTCCCAGCTTACTAGTTGAATAGTCCTGATATATTGGTTTTCCAGTTGTGAGAGTCTGTGTTTAGATCCTGGCCTCACAGGGTAGTATATTTATCAAAATAAAAACATTGATATTCTTATCGTGGTTTGATTTCCAGACTTACTACGCTTAAGGTGTGGGTGAAGCCTAGTCTGTACCTGACGTTGTATTCTGCGGAAAAGATATTTTACTGACTCATAGTTTTCTCATGTGAGGTTGGGTACCAGGAAAGTTTGATGAAAAGAGAGGTAGAGGCAGACAGAGGGAAAAGATACTGGACAAGATGACAACATGGCTGGGAGCAGCAAGAACAACAGACACCATTGCTGCTTCGAAAGACAGATGGAAGTGGAGGTCCATGATCGCCCACGCCAGTCGGCAAGGCACCGGATGATGATGATATCATTCTGAGAATTACTCTAAAGATGTCTCGTAAACACTTTTACTACTGCAAGCCGTGTTTCATGGCTCATAGTACTCCCAACACTGGTCCGCAAGCTGTGTTTCATGGCTCATAGTACTCCCAACACTGGTCCGCAAGCTGTGTTTCATGGCTCATAGTACTCCCAACACTGGTCCGCAAGCCATGTTTCGTTGCTCGCCACTTCCTGCTTCAAAACCATACCTACTTTTGTAACACTCGAAAGTGAAATATCGGGCTGAAGAATTATCGTTTTCTTGCAACATGTTGAGACAGGTAATTATTTCCCCTTAATTTTCTTATACCATGGAATCCACTTTTAACGAGTCCTGAAATAACAAGAAGTATGTTGTGAAAACACTATTCTGAAACCCTTGGGTTTTTTCTTCTTTATCTTTGTAAATAAAATATTGCTATAGCGCAATCGGACAAACATGCAAGTCGGTTATAGCGGCATATTGCTGCTGCTGTGCACAGCGCATAGGCCAATTATACATGTGTAAAACCTCACCAGTTGAGAAGCTTGGCGGTGATCTGGCGAAACAAAGAATGGGAGAGCCCACCTATGCTAACAATGAAGGCTGTAGCAAATGAGTGGTAAGGGTGTGGCATGCGCAGACAAACAGAACACATCGTGTGATAGGCCAGCCCGGTCTAGATTATCTAGACCTACCATGCCTCTCACTTCTCCTTTGCTGGGAGGAAAAGATCTCAGTGTTGTGATGGCTGGAGCGAATGTGTGATGTGGGCAGGGTGTGGTGTGTGCCCATGTGCACAATCTGACGAACGCACCACAGGGTGTGGTAGAGTGGGGGACAACACAGTGGAGGGTTAGTCTAGAGCCCTTTCTTTCTGATCGACAACTCTGAGCTGTCAGCATTGCTAGCACTAGAGAAAGAAGCCCGATTCGATTTTTTATCAAGACCAATAGGTCATGTTGAACAAAATCATCATCAGGGAAGATAACAAAAAAAGTAAACAGAACACCTAACTCATAGATCAGGTCTACTTTATTATTTCCCTTGAATTTATTATTGGGTCCCTTATAACGTGAGTCCTGCTATAACGGTTATTTCGCACCAGTCCCCTCCCTCTCATTATAACAGGATTCCACTGTGTAATGCTTGTGGCTAATATTGAAAATTGTACTCAAAATCTGTAATTTGTTCGATAGTAGGCAGAATCAGAAAGTAGGTCACAGATAGGGCCTGGTACAGGCGAGGAAAAACCCCCAGTGATGAAAGAGTTAAATCGTTCAAAGTGTGTATGTAAATTTCTTTTTTCTTTCAAGTTGATGTTGTCTTATACATATCTTGTTCTGTCTGATTGAGTTTGATATTTGTTTGTTTGAACATTTTGCCTTCCATTCTGCTTGAATAGTTTATCTTTTATTTCAGATTTTATGTGGGAAGGAAAGCCATGTTTGACAGTGATTATAAAAGTGGTAAGGGCATTCTCATTGATCTGTGTGAAAAGATGTTAATGAATCACCTAGGATTACTTTTTTTTGACAGGGTGGCTCCTTTTTTTTAACTTTCACTCTTGTCTCTGCTGAAAAGTATTGTAATACACAAGGGGCAAAAGCATATGTCTCATGGCAAGGTGGAATCAGGCGCTCGTCAATTTTTGGGCTTATGGAGTTATTGGTATCATCTAAAAGCTGATTTATTTGCCTTGCTTCCGGTGAAATAAATATCCTGCGATTGAAGGAAGTGAGGTCGCCTGGTTTCAGTTGTGAAATTAGCGAGAAAATGGCCGCCAAAGTATGGTAACTTCTAATATCTAAAGAGTCTTTGAAAACTGAAAAAATGACATATGTAATCCATGTTTATCTGTAAAATTCACATGGTAATGTGTTTTTATATCGACATAAAAGAAGTTAAGCCAAAAAATAAAAATTCTACAAAAATTTCGAAGCTGGCGGAAAAATGCCTGTTTCTCAAATTTCATTATTTTGATGAGTGCCTGATTTCACCATGCTGCCTCACATATTTCTGTATTTAAGAAAGGGGCTCCAGTGGCTAAGTAAGTAGTTAGTTCAGACTCAAGTAATGTCAAGCAAGTGTCGGTGACTCATGGATCAGATGGGTGGTCACTGAGGTGTGTCCTTCAGCAAGACACGACAACCCTAACTCAAAATACAGGGCGCTGCCCAGTGGCGACCAACAGTGGCATGGTTGTAAATGGTTCTGTATTTGTGTAATATGGTGTATTTATGTATGTATTTATGCATGTATTTATGTATGTACGTATTTATAATTATGTATTTATGTTTGTATATGTATGTTTGCCATTGTAAAACAAAGTGCCCTTCTGGGGCAGATAAAAGTGTAATTTATTATTTTTATTTTTTATTTTGTGAATGAGTTTGTACTTGGTCAAAATGTTTTGATGTTGGTTTGTGTGGATAGGGGTAATATAAAATGAACTCTTACATGCACATTAACTCATATAAAAATACACAGATTCAATACTTACACGCGTATTATGTACCCCCCCTCCCACACACACACACTCACGCACACACACACACACACACACACACACACACACACACACACACATGAGCATTTTGACTTACTCGCTTTAATGAGAGATGATATGACTTTTTGGCTTTAAAAAAAAAGTACGTTGTTTTTAGCGTTCTCCTACTGAATGTAGTCACCAGAGGTGTTGTAATGCCTGTTTTTCTCATGAGCTATTCAGCTGACACCGACTTTAATCATGTATTCTCTGTCCAGCGGAGGAGTATCTGACGTTTGCCTTCCAGAAGTGTCACCGCGAGAGCCCCAAGAACAAACGACTCATCCTTATCTACCTGATTCCTGTCAAGATGTTGCTGGTCAGTTGTCTACCTGGTTGATGTGTTGTATTGTTTGCTGTTAATTTATTTGCTGTTGCTGTTGTAGTTGCCTTTTGTTGTTATTTGTGAGGCAATGTGGTGAAATCATGCGCTCGTCAAAACTATGAAATCGAAAAAAATTGCATTTTTCTCACGTTTGGCAATTTTTAGTGAATTTCTCACGACGCACCGGCAGTGGAATTTTAGTTACAGCGGGGGATTCCCCGCCGAGCGCCTTATCACGTCGATGTCACGGGGTTCAGCTCCCTGTCGCCGCTCTGTCTGGGCTGACTTAATTTTGGTACTTTTCAATGTGAAGTTTTAGGTGTATCCTTGTATTTATGGTAATTATCACTTAATGCACCCAAAGCACGCATTTCTGCTCATGAGACTCTAAAAAGAACGGACACTGTAACTTGTCTGGTTATTTCGTTAGATGCGCTGAAGTCGGCAATGCTAAATTGTAAATTTTTTTCGACTAGTGTGAATGAAAAAAAAAATCAATATTAAAAAAACATCGGGCCAAAAAATGTGGAGCTTTTAGAATAAATGCAGATGTGCTTCTTTCTTCTCTTATAACTTGATAATTACTACTTGCGCAGATTCAAGATTTCTCATAGTAAAAGACATGAAATTCGTAGTCAGTGTAACACAGATTATGGAGAGATCTGTTTTGCCGCTTTCAAATAAACATTAATTTATTCATAAGTATATAACTAAAATAGGACAATTTGGGTACTCTACAAACACGTGTCTAGAACTAAAAGTAAAGCACAGAAATTACCATTCCAACACAAAATTAATCTCAAGACATTGAGCCTTTAGTACATCAGTGTAATGGTTTGTTGTGTGGGATGGGGAATAAGTTATATCGTTTCAAATGTAGACAAAAATGTGAACTTCTTAACCGACACCGGCAAAGTTGCTTCAGGACTCATTAACCCGGTGACACTGAGCCGGGGAGCTCCGGCAGGCTGCTGAGTCACGCTAACTAAAGATAACAGAATTGGGCAAAAAGTGACGCTGCGTTCTGTTTTTTGACTTAACATCTTTTAAACATTTCTGTGTTGATTTTACTGAAAATGTTGATTTAAGGCACAAGAATGTAAATTTGCTGTTTCTAAGGACTCTTAAGCCTTGGAAGTTGCCAAACTTTGGCGGCCATTTTTTAGCTAATTTTACCTCTGAAACGAGGCGTACCCACCTCCTTAAATAGCAAATATCTCGACTTCTGTTCGTTATATCTGAGTATTTTTTTAAAACGAAGGCAAGACAAATGAACAAGCTTTAAAATTATACCAATAACTCCACAATACAAAAAAATTGACGAGCGCCTGGTTCCATCGTGTTGAGAAACGTTTTGTTCTTGTTGTAATTTCAGCAACCTCTGTTCTTGCTCTCTTTTTGAACTGGAGTTGATTTCCTTCTGTAATCCTAGGAAGGTGTTTGTAGCTAATTTTGTAGTTTTTTTCTTTTGACCACTAGTTGTAATCGAGATACATTCACTTCACTGAGATTGACTAATGACTTTACTCTTACTTATATCTCTTTCCTTGTATCTCTTATTTTTCCTTTGCTTGTTCTTTCTTCCTTTCTATGAACTTCCATTTTTCTGTTTCAGTGTATGTTTGTTCGTTTACCTCTGGTCTTACCTCCTTTCTTTTGTTTGTTCCAGGGTCATATGCCGCGGCTGAGTCTGCTGAGGAAGTATGACCTGCTCCAGTTCTCTGAAGTTACTCAGGCTGTCAGGTAGTTGTTGTACAAGTCTAGCTAACTAATGACTTTTTTATTCTGTTTCCCTCAAGAGATCAAATGTGCTTTTATTAATTTGCTTCTCAATCCTGGGATTCATTCATACTTTTATTGCTTATTTCTTTCATTCAGTTATCCACTCTTTTGTTTATCCGGTCATCCAACCATTGGTGTATTTATCCATTCCACCCTCAATGTGTTCTAATTTTTTCATGAAAATGGCTCTTTCCTTGTATCCCTGTTTAACGTTTTGTCACTTTTAAAAATCTCACATGACCATGTCTCATTCCTTTTGTTATTCAGCTCTGGTAACTTGCTCCAGTTGAATGCTGCCATGCAGAAGCATGAGGCATTTTTCATCCGCTGCGGGATCTACTTGATCTTGGAGAAGCTGAAGATCATCACCTACAGGAACCTGTTCAAGAAAGTGTACGTGACATGGGCATGCTTACCACAGTGTCTGGTCTTTCAGTTTTGTAGTCAGTTTTAGGCGCCTTTGTGTTCAATTATTTAGTTCAATGCAGGTTTTTTTTAGTGTGGGTCTTGGGACATCTACATTAATGCCAATCTTAATTGACTGTAGGTGTTTTACTCCCTTATTGACCTAGTTATGGTCATTTAGGAGACAGGACTGAGGGAACATTGTTTTGTTTATCTGTAGCTTTCAGTAGTATTTGATGTGCATGTTGTATCTGCTTTGAAGTTGTGAATTATCTTTTTGGTGTGGTCTGCCTTTCGGCTGCAGTTGAAGCAATACTAGTTTTAATTTCAGTCCCCCATCCCAACTCTTCCTTTCTGCTGTATCTGTGTATTTACCCCATTTCCCTTTCCATACTCAGACATTTTAACTTTATCAATAGATTTTTAACAACTGTGTCCTCAATTTCTTTATGCACAGTAAGCACACAGTTACTGCTTCTTCAACTCTGTTTTTTTAAATAATCATCTGTTTGAGTACTCAAAAACCTTTGATGACTTGCTTTCTTTGATGGATGTTCAAGTTAATGTTAACTATATGTATATATTTCCCATCTCAGGTACCTGATCAATGAAAAGAACCATCTTATAGACATAAGCTCCTTCACAGTTGCCCTCAGGATGATGGAGGTAATGCTCTGATATCTGGGTTTTTTAAAATTAAAATCCAAATTTGTCACTGCACACTGAAATTTATCTCCTAGATGCTCCCCCCCCCCCCCCCCCCCCCTTCCCTCAGCAGAACTCTCTGAAGCACGGAGTCAAATATTTTGTGGCAAATCTTATGACAAGACTAGTTTACCTTTGAAACATTCATAAAGATTCAAAGATGTAATGTCAAATAATTGTTTGCCATAAAAAGTTGCTTGTTCATCAATGTAATTGGTTTTTGTTTGATTTTTCACTGTATTTGTATGGCACTATATCTAACTTATTTCCCACAGTATGTGCTTGCTTTAATGTTAATGCTTTTTTTTTTTTTGTCAGGTGGAAGACATTGATGATGATGAGACACAATGCATCCTGGCCAACTTGATATTTGAGGTGAGGTGTTTTTTTTGGTTGTTTTTTGTTTGTTTTAGAGATTAGTTAACTCTAGCAAATTGAGTTCATTTATTCACTGACGTTTGTCTCAGACTCTTACTTTTAACACATGTGGCTGCATTGTGTTGACTCACCAGGGACTGTAAATTTTGCCAACTTCCGTGACGTTCATGGTATTGCACAAAGCTAGAATTTACACATTTTCGTTACAGGTACGTCATGAGGCAATGAAGGGTTTGATTATGAATAGACAGTAGCAATTCAGGTTCTGTAATTGAGTGTTAAACATTCTGTTTTGTGTGATGTGCGAAGTAAGTATTATTGAGTTTTCAGGTCATCATGCAGGTGGTTTGTCTCCTTTTTTTTTTTACTCTGACTTCCCAGTATTCAATTCACTGAGCCTTTTCTTTTTCCAACCAGAACAAGATCAAGGGCTACATTTCCCATCAGCACAGGAAACTGGTCGTCAGCAAGCAGAACCCATTCCCACTGCTCTCCACGGTTTTATAGTCCATGCAGCAGTCAGTCTCTCTTGTTGCTGCAGACATACTATTATTGTGTTCCTCTACTTTAATATTGTTAATGTTGTTTTAGCTCATGACTCTGTCATTTTTTAATGTCATTGACATCTTCGTCATGCCTGTCTGTTGTGGTTACAGCCATCTCTGCCTGAACAATGATGGTGGTCATCATCATCATTATCATCATCATCATCATCATCATCAGCAGCAGCAGCAGCAGTATCCACACCCTGACTGTGATGATTATGATCAACAACTTTTTTATGCATTATCATCACCTTCATCGTTATCATCATTAAATTGCTATTGTCATCCTCCTCCTCATCATCATTATCATCATCGTCATCAAGCACCATCATCGTCATCATCATTGCCATTGTCCTAATCCTCATCCTCATCGTCATTGTCATAATTTGTTCCATTACTACTACTCTTATCATTGTCATTGTCATAATTGTGTATAATAATTATCATTATTGATAGTATGTCTTGAGCTGTTTCATTGATCTGTAAAAAAGAAAACCTCATTTCAAATCAAAACAAGTTGTGTTCCTCTTGAGATTATCTGTGCGTGTGAGCTGACCATCTGTCAGTGGGAAAATAGGAAAACATGTAGTGCCTTTATGTGTGTACAAGTGGCATGATTGTGGTCTTGTCCTGTAACTTAGCTTCAGTGTTACGATAGCTTGTTCACTTTCGTCTGTACGCGTAAAAAGAACTCATTTATTAATTGACCAATGCCCACAAAACTTTGCATGACATTTCTGCAAGCAAGTGATCAAACGAAATTTAAAAAAAAAAAAAAATCTTGATCCATTAATAAAGAAGTTTTTCTCTTTGGGCCCTATATTAAGAACCGCTCTTTGGATGCATACACTGGGGGGCTCTCGTGGCCTAGAGGTTAAGGTGTTGGCCTCTCATTCAAAGGTCCCGGGTTCGATTCCGGGTAGCGACCAAAAAATTTTCTTCTCTAAAATTGTCTCCTTTCTATTCCTTTCCTGATCTCTAACAATGTTCTGTTGTCTGCTTTCATTTCCACTTTCTGCCCCCACCCCCTCACCTCCTTTGCCCCCACCTCTGGGCTCCTGACTCTTTCTGCAGCCTTTCTACTGCTACTCCTTGGCTCCTCCTAACTGCTGTCTTTCTGCCACACCCCTGATCTTCTGGTAGGAAAGATCTACACCTAGCCTTCTCGGACAAGGGCGAAAAATCTCGGAGGGCCCGTGTGCAAGTTGCGCACGTTAAAGATCCCTTGGTGGTCTAAAATCGATAAGAGTAGGCTTCGGCCGCCACCCGGGCAAAATTCAAAATTTCCTACTAACGAAAAAGTATTAGGTGTATCCCGCGCGCTCATATGACCTTATGTAGTTGCGAGCGCCGTAAAACCCTATACTAAACAAACAACAAAACAGATGCATACACTGAATCACTGAACTAAATGACTTTCAGTGGCCTTGCTTACAAATTGTTCATTTTGAGACAGCAACACGGCCCTTCCCCCTCATTTCAGTGTAAGGCTCTCGATTTCATCCCCCAGCTGTCTAGACGCCTCCATGTGCACCATATGACTCCAAAATTACTCACCCGGTCTCTTGAATCGTGTTTCCTATGCGTACGTTAGACTGTGGTGTCGAGGAAAATATATCAACTATTAAATGTTTTGGGTGTATGCTGTAAATCCCCTTTTATTTTTTTTTACCCGTTTTAGGGTTACTTCAAAGAAAATATATCATAACCCTAAGTTTGCTGTGACCTTTATAAATGGACATTTAGATTCTGTTGGTTATCCAAATTTTAGACCCCTATGCATAGAGATCTGAGAAGAATAAACAGTGCAATTTCATTTTATCTTGTTTTAACCTTGGTTAGACAAAAGTGAACAAGCTATCGTGTTCTTTTTGTGTGTGATGAAATGTTGTCATTGGTCCTGTTGTCGTGCTGAATTCTTTTTTTTTATGAAGGGGTTTTTACTCTTCAATGGATATGATTTAGATCATAAAATAATATAGAAGGTGGGCTTCGGCCTTGACTGCTTGTCAGGGCCAATGTCTACTGAGAGGGATACAACATCCCAGCAGGAAGACAGAGACACTCGATAGAAATTCTCCCCACTCGCATCGTGAATTGTACTCTGGTCTCCTGTGACTGTGTGCACAGTGAGCCGTCTGATCATGACGCTGCAGGTGCTGGAATACTCACTTTTCATTATAATCTACTGCACACTGGTGTTGAAGAAGCAGCTTGCGATAATATTGAAATGTTCTAACCACCCCCACCCCCCCAACACACGCTCGTGCACACACACACACACACACACACACACACCTCCGTGGACACTGGGTGGTTGGCGAGTGCTTTGGTGCGGTTTACTCCTTTCCTATCGAACATGTATTGTCCTTATCTCTCCTCCTTTTTTTGTGTGGGTTTGTTACTCTCTTGTAACACCTCTAATCTTCGGCGCTTATACATGTATTATGACCAAATTGTGGTGTAAATACCTAAAACTCTTTCTTAAAAACCCCATAAAACCATCAGCACTGTTTAGATCAGTTAGAAAGGCGTGGACTCCGGAATGCTTCAACCTTGCCAGTCGGGGCCAACCCAGTGGAGTGGGATACAGTGTCCCAGGAGACATAAGTTAAAAACGTTTCGTGGGTTGTAATTGTTGGCGGATGCTCTGGTGTGGTTTGCTTTTTCTTTCTCATCAAACATCTACATCCTTATCTCTCCTTTTTTGTGTTTGTTACTCTATTGTAACACCTACTTTGTCAAGTATATATGAACTTTATGCGATTCTGTTAATTTTAACAAAGAATGATAAAGGAAAATAATCAAATTTTATGCAAAAAATGATCAAATTTTGCTAAATTATGGGGGGTGCATAAAACCACTGGGACAGACTTATATTGTTGTAAGTGCTGTAAAACTCTTACTAAAGCGAAAACTAAAAATGTCTAATGTGGGAATGGATTTCATGTTGCGAGAAAATAGCCGTCAAAGTTAGGTAACTTTTATAGCTTGAGAGTACTTGAAAACTGAAAATTTACCTGTTTTGTGCCATTAATCAAGGATGTTCAGTAAAATTCACATGGACATTTTTTTTTTTATATGGACATAAAAGATGTTGAGCCAAAAATCTAAATTTCGACAAAAATTGCCAAACTGGGAGGAAAAATGCGTTTCTTCGATTTCATTATTTTGACGAGGGCCTGATTTCTCCATGATAGGGCCTACCTCACATTTCCTTCTCAGCCCAGCAGCATTTCGGTACTGGTGGGGAAGAAATTATGTTCCACAATGGAATGGACCCACTTTAAAAAATTATTATAATGTCAAAGTGGACAATTCAATTTTTAAAATTTTTTAAAGTGTTGTAAATTGTTCCTGTCTGCCTTCAAAATGATGTGTTTTTATTTGTTACAGCCTGACACCAGTGGGTAGTTGGAGGCGCTCTGGTGTGAGTTGCTTCTTATTTCATGGAAAAAGTATTGTTATTACCTCTCCTTCGTTTTCTTTGCCCTGACTGGTTTGACTCTCAACATCTTGCAAGTCAAATCTTTGGCACTTTTATGACCTACTTGGGTTGCAAGTGCCATAAAACTCTTTGCAAAACTGAAATTGTTTTAATTTTACGAGTCCTGAGTGAAAGGACTTGTACTACTAGTTACTAGAACGAGAACTTTTACTTGCTGACATTTTTTTTCTTCTATTATTTGGTTGGGTTTTTTTTCATGTTGAATTTTCAATGAGAAAAAAATCCCCGTCACACTTAAGAGACAAAAATCAATATGATAAAAAGTAGGCCAACTTTAAGTAAGAGTTTTACGTCGCTCGCGACACAGCAAGGTCATAATAAGGGCCGAAGATAAGAAGTGTTACAAGAGAGTACTTTTTTACATTTACTTTTATCTGCCGCTTATACCGTTTTTGGTGTCACGGTAAGAAAGAGACGTCTCTCTGTCGCCAGCCGGAGAGCTTGGGTCAGGGGGATGCCGTGTGCGGTTAGTGTTTCTCTGACTCCATCTATCCATAATCCAGGTCTTTCTCGGTCGCCCTCTAGCCTTGTTACCGTCGAATTTTTGTACGTAGGCACGTTGTGCTGGATAGTGTGTTGGTAATCGCATGAGATGTCCGAACCATTTGATTCTTTGGTGTTGGATGTGATGCATGACATCATTTGTGCCCACCATTTCTCTGATAACTGAGTTTCTAATTTTGTCTCGCCTGGTCTTGTTTACTGCTTTTCTAAGACATCGCATTTCACATGGTGTTAATTTTTGCTCAAATGTCTTGTTCATGGTTCATGTTTGGCATTAATAGGTGAGTGTTGGGATGAAAATGGTGTTGATCATTTTGAGTTTTGTTGTCATGGGGATGTTAAGATGTTTCAGTAGTGGAGTAAGCTGGTAACTAACATCATTGGCCTTTTGTACTCGTGTTTCAATTTTTCTGTTCAGTCGCCCATCCTATGTGAATATACTTCCGAGGTACTTAAATTCTTGGACCTGTCTGAGACTGTTGCTGTTGATGTGTATCCCGAGTGGTCCTGGCTTTCTGCTTACTGTCATTGTCTCTGTTTTGTTGATGTTGATCTTCATGTCGTACTTGTTACATTCTTCGTTTAATATGGTGGTTTGGTGTTGGAGACTTCGTTTGTCTTTGTGTGCCAGGCTTTGGTCATCAGAGAAGAGTAATATTTTTCTGGGCGTCTGGTTCCTTGTTGGCCTCTTTTGTAATTCTCTCCATATATGATAATAAATAGTAGTGATGATAAGACACAACCGTGTCTTACTCCGGATGTTATCTCGAACCTTTCTGTGAGTCCCTCCGACGTTCTTACTGTACTTATGCTGTTCTCGTAAATCGCACAGATGTTATCTAGAAGTTAGCCTCTTACCGTGTAGTTTTTGAGTTCTTTCCACAGCTTGTTTCTGTTCACTCTGTCGGACGCTTTCTCCTGGTCGACATAATTATACTATGTTTAGTTCCCTGTTGTGTTCTATTACCCTTTCGCACAATCGTCGTAGGGCAAATATTGCGTCGATGCATCCTCTTCCCTTTCTAAATCCCATTTGGGCCTCACTCAGAAATGGTTCAACTTTGTGTCTTGTTCGCCATTCCAATATCTTGACGAACATCTTGCCCCCATGGTTTGGCAGTGAAATGCTTCTATACATTCCACAGTCTCTCTTACTGCCTTTCTTCTTCCAGATTGGTACCATGACCGCTTTTTGCCAGTCGCCTGGAACTTTTCTTTCTGTGCATGCTCTCAAGAAGATTTTTATGAGCCAAGTTATATTCCAGTTTCACCACATGCTGGGATGGTCTCCGTGGTGAGCTCATCTGTTCCTGAGCTTCTTTTGGGGGGGGGGGGGGGGGGGCTGGTTTTAACTGCTTGTCTGACCTCTGATGGTAGGATGGTTGGTTCTTCTTCCTCTGGGTGATTTTTTGGAATTCCCTTTAGCGTTTCCAAGTCGTTTTTCGTCTATATCAGTCCGGTTCTCTCTTCCTTTAGTGTTTTTTAACAATAAATAATCTGC